TTCAAATGCTAAGATTTCTGCACGGTTTGCTTTCATTTTTTTGTGTTTGTTTAATTTAACTTCAGAGTGCACACTTATAAATTTTAGCCTAAGGTATTGAAATGGCAAAGTTCTTTTTGCAGATCACCGGATCTATAAAATGAGTTTTGCTGTTTATAAACGCAGCCTAAGACATTGAAAGTCTAAAATTCTACTTCGTGGGATGTATAAAATGTGGGTTGCTTTTCTAAATGCTACTAAACTTTAAAACATGTGCCTCTCCTTTGAAAGGACTATTGTATTACAGTCCAGGAAACTGGCTTTGACTTTCCTCTGACACACTAATCAGATTCAAAGCTCTTCTAAGTAAGCATTTAACAAAAAACAGAGTGTTTGTCTGTACAGGTGACAATGGCTTTAAAATATATATATCTAAGCTAAGCAGAGTTGAATATTTGGGAAATAATTTATGGAACAGTCTTAACACGAGATGCCAAAGGTGAAATTTAAGGCTAACACTGTAGGACTGAACAGAGTTGCAAAGCTGTTAATGCATGCAAGAGAAAGCAAAAACTTTTAAGACTTTTTCAGCAGGGCTAGCTTAAGAGGCAACAAAATGAGGCCACCTTTGAAGGGGAATAAGAGCAAATTCTAAGAAAATGTATCTTTTTAAAATAATAATAATAATCTGTTTGCCACCTTGAGCTATTTATAAAAAGTAACAAATAAGTAATCAACATCAAATAAGTAAATATTATCTTTCTGAGCCGGATGGAAGAACAGCTCCATCAAAATCTAGACTAGAGTCACCAAGCCCCCTTTTCCAAGTGTCATTTAAAATATCCCCCCCCCCAAAAAAACCCTAGAAAGATGTTATCCAAACACCATCAGTTTATATAGGCAAAAAGAATCCAGGACTAGGATGCAAGAATAACACATGAGTTTTAAAACTTCAGAGACACTTGTGGGCTCTCCCCCCCCATCACCCAGGAAATTCTACAGTATTGTGATTTATCTAAGTGAGATTTCGCATCCCTTCCCCCAATAAAACATGTCTTATAATGTGGCATGTTGATATATGGATACAGACCCTGGTTCATCCCCCCCCCAGGAAGAAATACCCTGTGGTTGGAGACTAGGCCTTTTATATATTTTCATTCATTGGGTCTTGGTAGTCTATTTATCCTCTGGATTATTTCAAAAAGCTAAAATTGTGGGTGCTCCATCGCTGGAAGTTTCTAAGAAGAGATTGGACAGCCGTTTGTCTGGAATGGTATAGGGTTTCCTGCCTGAGTAGGGGGTTGGACTAGAAGATCTCCAAGGTCCCTCTCTTTTCTGTTATTCTGTTGTTCGGTATTCCGAATGTGTTTTAAATAAGAGAGACAAAGCATAATGAGAAAGAGAATTGTTAAAAGAGAGCAAGCAGCGTCCAGGGCTACAGGGATGGAATCTGATCTGAAGGATTTGGCCGAAGTCCTGTAACTCAACTATGCACACCATGTGTGGTTGTGTTGCTAGCTATGGTGCCTGTGCATATAACAATATACAGTTCTCGTCTCACACTGCTCAGCTTGTGCTTTATCTTCCTGGATGCAAAGGTCCTTCCTCTTTGCTGGAGAAATTTTTCCTTGTAACCTTTTAAAAAATCACATTCCCAAATGACAATCCTGGGGAGAAAAAAACCACTGAGCCCAAGAATTTTAATAGAACAGCTGCAATTGCAGCCAGGATAAATAAAAGCTTCTGGAGACCAAAAGAAAAGAAAAAAGATCTGACAATTCTATTTTCATTTTATGACACCTGGAGGTTTAGGCTGGACAGTCGTGTACAAGTTGTAAAGTGTGAAATCTGGAAGACTGCCAGAGGCACCAAATGTTAGCCATAAATGCTCAGGCTGACTTCAAGACTTTTGAGTGCAGAGGCTGATGCTTTAAAAGGTTACACAGGACTTCTTTGAAAGTGCTTCTTGTTAAAATGATCTCTATTGTTTATATTTTCCTGTATTGAAAAGAAGGAATCAGATTCATAGAACATAGATTAATAGAGCTGAAAGAGACCTTGGGGGGGGGGGGTCTTCTAGTCCTTCCTGTAACTTCCTGGACCTAATATAAAACCTTTCTCCCTTGGAATTATTTCACCCTTTGGAGATTAACCAGAAACTGGGAATTCTAGTTTCTATACAGTAGATTTATTGATTGCTGGAGTCTGTTGGAATTCCTGTTTCTTTAAGAACTGTGTGCCTTTGTTCACAGACCTGAAAAAAAGACTTAAGGAAACCATTTGGGATCCTGTCTGGCAATTGCAAAACATTTTTTTGGATGCCAAGTTATTCAGGCAGAGATCACTAAAAAAAAAAAAAAAAAATACTCATCCCAGTAAAGAAAAGGGGCAGATTTCCCCCTGGAAAGTTACAGAAAAGATTATTATCTTGTGTTAAAAAAAAGGTGAGGGGAAGAATTGTCTGGAGGGCTCAGGAGATTAAAAAGACATATTTTTTTTTTGTAAATAGGAAAATTGCAGAAGGCTGTTGCCTTATTAATATACTGTGAGTAGGTTTAAACTGTTAGGATTGAGGCAAAGCATAAGGAGAATAAAAATACGCTTAACGCATAAATATGTGCAGCACAATATATAAAACCACGGAACAAGTAAAATAAACCAAAAGCATGGAAATGTATGAGCAGGCTAAAGCAACAGGAAGACTTAAACAGACTGGTATTTACTTAAAGGTTTTCTAAAAAATCTTGTCTTTCTATCACGGCAGCTTTCTCACACAGGATTGGCAAACACTTTCAAAAGCCTCCAGGAAGAGCAGTAGGTAGGTAAGCAGGCAGGTAGGTAGGAAGGAAGGTAGAAAAGGAAGGAAGGAAGGAAGGAAGGAAGGAAGGAAGGAAGGAAGGAAGGAAGGAAGGAAGGATAAATGTAAAGGTAAAAAGGGGAAGAGAAAGAAAAAGGAAAGGAAAGCTAGGGGGAAGGGGAGGGAGAAGAAGAAGTGAAGGAAAGGAAGGGAAAGGGAAGGGGAAGGAAAGGAAAGGACAGGAAAGGAAAGGAAGGGAAAGATCAAGTGAATGAAAGGAAAGGAAGGGATGAAGAAGGGAAGGGAGGAGAGAATGGAAGGAAAGAAGAGAAAAAGAAGGAAGGAAGGAAGGAAGGAAGGAAGGGAAGGAAAGAAAGAAAGAAAGAAAGAAAGAAAGAAAGAAAGAAAGAAAGAAAGAAAGAAAGAAAGAAAGAAAGCCTTAAATGAAGCTCCTGGTTCAGAGTGGACCCCAACTGCCTCTCGGGAGCCAAGCAGGAGAGGGAGAGAGCTTCAAATCCTAATGGCCAGGATTCTCCCTCCCTGGGACAAGAGGATGCTGTGATCTCTCTGCTTCCTTTTCCTGTTTATACAGTTCTTAACTGGTGGGATGTGGGAGAAAGGTTTGCTGTGAGGCCATTCTGTCCCATCTTGCACATTAAAAGTGGACTTTCTCTGCCCTAACCCAAGCCGGTCTTCCTCTCTTTTCTCCAGCGTTTTGGGAGAGCTGCTGACCTCCTGCTTTTAGCCACAAAGTGCCATTCAGTCTTATATTCGGTGGGGAATTTGAGAGAGGCTGACGTGGGCAGCCTCAAAGCTTGAATGCTGCCTGGACTTCAACCCCCAGAATTCCCCAGCTAGCTAGCTCATGCGGCCAAATTGGAAAAACACTCTTTTAGAATTCAGCAACGGCTGAATGCAAACAGGCCTCTGGAGATTTTCCCAGAAACCGTTTCGTTATGACCCACCAGATCTTCCCATATCTCAGTTTAGTGAGATTCATTTGCTTTAGAATCTATTTTCTATTGGTTTTGTGTTTTGCCTCTTTGGAACCACCACTGAAGGAATTAGATAGATAGATAGATAGATAGATAGATAGATAGATAGATAGATAGATAGATAGATAGATAGATAGATAGACACACAATTATAATTTCTTAGCTAACCATCTTCTGAGCACAAGCAAAACCGTGTTACTAACTTAACAATTGCAGTGAAATTGGACAACCCTTTGTCTGGAATGGTGAAGGGTCTCTTGCTTGTGCAGGGGGTGGGACTAGAAGACCTCCAAGGTCCCTTCCAACTCTGTCGTTCTGTTCTGTTCTGTTCGGTCTGGTGCTACTGGATATTCACCCTCTCCCCTTTGTTTTGTGTTTACGGTAGATACTAAAAATCTTCCCTTCTGAAATAAGGACAATGAAGGCGGCCGTTTGCTTGCTGCTAATGGCCGCTGTAGGAATCAAGGCGCAGAAGACCGAAGAGGCCGAAAGCCGCGCGGCGGGAGAGGCGCGAGAATTTGTTTACCGCAACAGATACAAACGCTCTGCCGAGGCCCAGGACAAATGCACTTACACCTTCATTGTGCCTCAGCAAAGAGTAACCGGGGCCATTTGTGTGAACTCCAAAGAGCCCGACTCTGTGCTGGACAACAGGGTGAACAAGCAAGAGTTGGAACTTCTCAACCACGAACTCTTGAAGCAGAAGAGGCAGATAGAGACCCTGCAGCAGCTGGTGGAGGTGGACGGCGGGATCGTGAACGAGGTCAAGCTCCTGCGCAAGGAGAGCCGCAACATGAACTCCCGCGTCACCCAGCTGTACATGCAGCTGCTGCACGAGATTATCCGGAAACGGGACAACGCGCTGGAGCTGTCCCAGCTGGAGAACAAGATCCTCAACCAGACAGCCGACATGTTGCAGCTGGCAAACAAGTACAAGGACCTGGAGCACAAATACCAGCACCTGGCCACCATTGCCAACAATCAGTCGTTCGTGATCGCACAGCTGGAGGAGCACTGCCAAAGGACGCCGGCCGCCAAGCCAGTGCTGCCGCTGCCGCCGCCGAACCGCGTCTACCAGCCACCCACGTACAACCGCATCACCAACCAAATATCCACCAACGAAATCCAGAGCGATCAGAACTTAAAGGTGCTACCGCCGACTCTTCCCACCATGCCCCCCGTCACCAGTGTCCCGACATCCACCGATAAGCCCTCAGGTACGTCAATCCCTTGGTTTTTTAGTACGGTCACGGACCGTACACGGTAGAGGTAGTTAGTCCTTGGCTTACAACGGGAACAGACCCCTGGATTTCTCTTCCAGACATCAGAGAGTTGCAAGCTTGTTTTGGGGGACATTGGCGTTGCGATGGTCCCTGACGACAATTTCTGTTGCTAAGCAAGACAGTTGTTAAAATGAGTTTCGCCCCCTTTTACGATCTTTCTTTTAATGAATCGCTACAGTTGTTAAGTTAATAACATGGCGGGTAAGTGAATTCTTCCCCACTGACTTGGCTGGTCGGGGGAATCGCCAAAGGGGATCACGTGACCCCGGGATGCTGCGACTGTCATAAACATGAGTTATTTGCCACATGGGTGAATTTTGATCACGTGATCCTGGGGATGTTGCAATACTTGTAAATGTGAAAAATGGTCATAAGTCTCTTTTTCAGTGTTGTTGTAACTTACAACAGTCACTAATCTGTTGTAAGTTGAGGACTACCTGTATGTCCTTCCTTCTTTCCTTCTTCCTTCTCTCCTCTTTCCATCTCCTTCCTTCCTTCTTTCCTTCTTCCCTCCCTCCTCTTTCCACCTCCTTCCTTCCTTCCTTCTCTTTCCATCGCCTGCTTTCCTCCCTCCCCTCCCCTCCCCTCCCCTTCCCCTTCCCCTCTCCCTCCCCCTCCCATCTCTCTCCTTCCTTCCTTCCTTTCTTCCTTCCTTCCTTCCTTCCTCCCTCCCTCCCTCCCTCCCTCCCTCCCTCTTTCCATCGCCTGCCTTCCTTCTTTCCTCCCTTCTTCCCCTCCCTCCCCTCCTCTCCTCAAGTCTACCTTCCATTCTGCTTAGCATGAGCAGCCTCTCCTCCATCTTCCACGTAGCTCCTTGGGGAAGCCCACCTCCTACTCTTGGATGGGGATACACGGAGAGCTGCATTTTCCTTCATTCTATTATGGAAAACTTCCTTGGAGCTAAAGGCTACGCTGGGAACGTCTCATCAGCCAGAAAAAAAAACAAAACAAAACCCTCTCGGCCAATCTTCTAATCTCCTCCAAAGCAGATCTCCTTGTCCCTCCTTCTGATATTTTAATAGACTGTTTTGCCATAAGGTTTTCAAATCTGGGGAAAGTAAATCTGCGCGTGGGGCTTGTCAGGGGGAAGCAGAAGGGGTTATTACAGTTCAGAAAATAAACAAGCTCTCTTTATTGAATCTGAACAATTAAATTAATAAGCCCAAAGGAATGGTAAGTGGGATTCACAGTGGGAGAAGCTCATGCGGGAGAATTCTTAAGAGAGGTGGAGCTCTTAAAAAACCACTATTAAAAGCCCCCCTTTCCCCCCTCCCTCACCTAAGAAACTTTAAAAAAAGATGATGAAAGAGAACAGGACTCTTAGTCAAACAAAACCTCTACATGAAATCATCAACAGCAATTTTTTTTTCTTAATTAGGAAAACTCTCCGGAGAGGAGGGAGAAAAAAAAAAGAAGCATGCTTTGATTTGCGATTTGTTCAACTGGCAGGACAAATTAACTCTTTCGGACTGAAAATAGTTCAGTTTTCCCCTGATTTTTTTTTTTAATACTTCAGGACCTGAGAAAGGATTCCACAGATCCAGTTGCCAGATCTAGTTAGATACGATTAATATATGAAACAATTTTTTTTTAAAAAAAAAAAGATGTTTGTTATGTGGAGCCTGGTCTTACTTCTGCCCGTAGTGTGCAGCTTATTGTGTACAAGGCATAATTTAAGCATGTGCAGAAGTACACACACATACACACACTCTAATTGTTTAAGGAAAAGGAAGATTCGAAGGTCTCCCACTACCTGGTCAGCCAGTTAAATTCTTTCTTCTAAAGTCCCAAAAATGAAAAGTGGGTATTTATCTGAACGTAAGTAGAAGATTTTTTACACTGAAGCTGTCGCTAAAGGTCTATAAAGCTAACACAAACACACAGGGAAATGATTAAAAGTTAAATACAACAAACCACCAGATTTGGAGCAAAAATAAACAGATTCCCTTTCTGAACAAGAGCGGGACTTACGGCAGGGGTCCCCAAGCCCCGGGTCGGTACGCATGCACACAGCTTAACTTGCACAAGTGGCAGGCTTGTGCACACATGTGCAGCTCAATTTGCACATGTGGTGGGCTGGTTCCCCTCTACCCCGCTCTCTCCAGGCTGCCAAGCCATAAAGGATGGGGACCGCTGTCTTACGCCAATTCTTATTCCAATGCTGTTTTTGGCAAGCCGTTTCACTGTCAATTGTAATAATGGGAGCCAAAATCAACTCAATGGGTCTCTACAGAGGGATGATGGGAGGAGGGAATAGGAAATATGTTTGCACACTTCATTGGACTGTATAGTAAAATTAGCCGGCGTCAGTGAAGCTTTTCTACACTGCTATCAAAACACGTCTCGGAAACATTTTTAAGAAGATTAATCGTTTGATGTTGCTTTGGTTTTTTTTTAATATACAGTAAAATTACATTTGTGGGGTCTTTGGTGCTCTCTGAGCTTGGTTGTTAGAGCGCAGAGGAGAGCAACGAAGATGATTAGGGGACTGAAGGCTAAAACAGATGAAGAACGGTTGCAGAAGTTGGGTATGTCTAGTCTATCGAAGAGAAGGTGGCGTGATAGCAGTGTTCCAATATCTCAGGGGTTGCCACAAAGAAGAGGGAGTCAAGCTGTTCTCCAAAGCGCCTGAAGGCAGGACAAGAAGCAACGGATGGAAACTAACCAAAGAGAGAAACAACCTAGAACTAAGGAGAAACTTCCCAACAATTAGGACAATTAACCAGTGGAACAACTTGCCTCCAGAAGTTGTGGGTACAATAAAATACAAGACTGTACTTCTAAGTTTAGAGACCATCATGCCAGAACCTAGGAAGGTAAAATTAAGTTTAGTTCTCATTAAGCAAGAATCAGCCAGGAAACCTATTTGACTCTATCTAGAATTGTGACCGGGCACTTGACAAGAAAGAAATATGGTGTCTCTTATTTTCTACCAACCAGGTCCTTGGCGAGACTGTTTACAAGCTTTAGAAGACGGCCACGGGACCAGTTCCATATATCTTGTCAAGCCTGAAAACACAAACCGATTGATGCAAGTCTGGTGTGATCAGAGGCAAGATCCCGGTGGCTGGACGGTAATTCAAAGGCGTTTGGATGGATCGGTGAATTTCTTCAGGAACTGGGAAACGTATAAGGTGAGGCCAAATAATGGTGTCTTTCAGCATTCAATTTTGTCGGTCTGCTTCTCATAGTGAAAGAACACCAGAGGTAGGAGAAGAGCAGGCAGAACTGGGAGGTGGAGTTAAACGTGCTATCAGCTTAGAATCCTTATGTTGCCACAAACGATCCAACTTCCAATCCCTCTTGAGTTTTATTGACTCTTATCTAATGCCAGTTTAGTGTTGATAGTTAGTTGACTAGATTCTTATGTAACTGGTAGGCTTGAATAAAACTTCTGCACCGCAACGTAATGTATAGTCCTGAACCTTTGTACCTAACACCATAATACTTAAGGTGTTGACAGAGGCAAAATCAATACTAGAGGATAATTCATTACTCTCTTTTTTCCCTGTAGCAAGGGTTTGGTAACATCGACGGAGAATATTGGCTGGGGCTGGAAAACATCTACTGGCTGACAAACCAAGGAAACTACAAGTTGTTGATAACCATGGAGGACTGGTCGGGACGGAAAGTTTTTGCGGAATATGCCAGCTTCCGTCTGGAGCCGGAAAGTGAATTCTACAAGCTGCGAGTGGGCCGATACAACGGCAATGCAGGAGACTCCTTTACGTGGCACAATGGAAAACAATTCACCACACTGGATAGAGACCACGATGTATACACAGGTACAAAAATCTGAATTCCGGGAGAATGTGCATTGAAACTATCTGGAATGGAATGGAATGGAATATCTATGGAGATTCTCAATCATCCAGGTCATACTTATCCCAAAGATCCTTTTTCACAAGGCAGCTGGAATGGAATGGAATGGAATGGAATGGAATGGAATAGAATAGAATAGAATAGAATAGAATAGAATAGAATAGAATAGAATATAAAATAGAATAGAATAGAATATAAAATAGAATAGAATAGAATAGAAATATGGAATAGAATAAATTATGGAATATGGAGAATAGAGTAGAGTAGAGTAGAATAGAATAGAATAGAATAGAATAGAATAGAATAGAAATAAAGAATAGAATCGAATTTAGGAATAGAATTTAGAAATAGAATAGAATAGAAATAAAGAATAGAATAGAAATAAATAGAATAGAATAGAATAGAATTTAGAAAGAGAAGAGAAAAGAAGAGAAGAGAAGAGAAAAGAAGAGAAGAGAAGAGAAGAGCAGAGAAGTAGTCCTTGTCTCTTTTTCCAAGTTTTCCAAGCTAGGCTTGATTTGGCAGGAGGGACGCAAGGAGGAAAGTACACCTGGTTGAAAAGTCAGAGTAAGATAAGTCCATCTGTTCAAAACGGGGTGTCTTTTATTTCTGTTTCAGGCAACTGCGCCCACTATCAGAAAGGGGGCTGGTGGTACAATGCCTGCGCTCACTCCAACCTCAACGGCGTCTGGTACCGAGGGGGCCACTACCGGAGTCGCTATCAAGACGGCGTTTATTGGGCGGAATTCCGGGGGGGCTCCTACTCCCTGAAAAAAGTGGTCATGATGATCAGACCGAATCCTAACACTTTCCATTGAAGGAGACAGCGTCCTCTCAAAGAGGTTGTAACTGGTTTTCCGGAGCGCAGCAACAAAGAATGTAGGATATTGTACCACCGACCACTAGACAGGAGACCTGGATGCTGTCCTATTCCAGAATCAATCTACAACCAAAACAAGAAGCTTTTTTTGGAGGGGGGGGGTCATCGCTCTTTGTGTGGAAAGAAAGAAAAAAAAGTAACCCACCCACCACTTTCGAGTGACACGGACCGTAGATCAACGGAGATCCTAGGAAAGGCGCCCTGCCATCTAAATACTTCTTATGTTATGTATACTCTCCAATCCTGCACATATCCAAAACTGTACAGTAAATAATAGACCCATTTGACACAGGAAAGTATATCCTTTGAAGCTATGTAGCCAGGGTGGGTATCTTAGGCTGTTAAAAGGGACGGTTCTTAATTTAATCCGTGGCAGAGACTTAGCGCCTGCGTCTACCACTGTGTCTTGCGCAAAGAGAAGACCAAGTCTGGAATTCTTCCACCTCCGCCTGGATTGCCAGGCAGTGTCACAACTTCACAACGAACTATTTCAAGTGGTTTATACAAACAATTCTGATATTCCTCTTTGCTCTTCCTCTTTAATGCATTGGCCATTCTCCAAACGTTGACCAAACTTGTATTTTTTTTCCCCCAATTATCTCAGCAGTATCAATGTGGTTTTTTTTTTTTCCCCTCTAGACTTTGGGGAATAACTTAGATCTGACTTTATCACCCGCAGAAATGGCTTCATAATATAAATGACAATTCTGGGTTCTGAGCTAAGTTGCCCTTGAAGACTCTACACCAGGGGTTCTCAACCTTGGCAACTTTAAGACTTGTGGACTTCAACTCCCCAAATTCCTCAGCCAGCAAAACTGGCTGAGGAATTCTGGGAGTTGAAGTCCACAAGTCTTAAAGTTGCCAAGGTTGAGAACCCCTGCTCTACACTCTCTAATAAAAAGAGGAATCATGCAACTTACAGAGTTTCCTAGACAATGGAATAAAAACTTGGAGGGCTTGTGAAAAAGATTCTGGTATCGTTAAAAACCAAGAGTTAAAGTTTACTGCTTCCTTAAATAGAAGGGCAAATAATAGCTACTGGAACAGAACCCATTTAATTAGCCATTAGACTGTAACTCTTTGGAGGGATATATGATACACTATTTGTCGTATTTTACCATAATGGACAAATACACATATTAAAAGAGAATTATGCAAATCTATCTATAACATCCATTGTAGAAACTTGAACTTCTGCATTCTAGTACTCTGCTGAGGTAAACACCAAAAAATTCTTGTTTTAAGACGTTACTTCCTAGGAACAGTGGAAACCATAAAAGTTTTAAAACTGTTATTACCTCATTATTTCATTCCTGATGGACAATGTGCATTAACATTTTGGAATGAGGTAGCATGTCTTGTACATAGATGAAAGTAGGGATTTTAATATATCATCAGATTACCTTGTAATGCTCCAAATGAGTAATAAAAGCAACAAATGTTACTTGGATATCAACATGCATTATTTTATTATGAGAGAGAGAAACAGACAAATAGATCTATAGAGATGGCTGGGTAGCTGGGTGGATGGATAGATAGATAGACAGAAAGACAGACAGATACAGAGATAGAGATTATAGATGACAGATAAGATGATAGACATAGATGATAGAGATGGATAATTACCATTACTTAATCAGTGGAATAACAATGTCTGTCTGTCTTTCTTTCTTTCTTTCTTTCTTTCTTTCTTTCTTTCTTTCTTTCTTTCTTTCTTTCTCATCTATGTCTGTCTGTATGTATGTCTAATCTATCTATCTATCTATCTATCTATCTATCTATCTATCTATCTATCTATCTATCGGTGTTGAAAAAGCTTCTGGCATAATTTAAAAAAAATGCTCAGAGATTGCTGCTTCCTTAAAACCACACAATTAATTTGTGCTGCAGTCAACTAAACGTGAACCTTGTAATCTTGACCATCAGTCGAGCACTTCTCCGCCCTTTTGTGTCTTCCAATTGTAAAAACTGCAGGCAGAGAATTCTCTTTAAAAAAAAGGGGGGGGGCAGGGATCCTTTGATGTGACTACTATTTCATTCATTCCAGACCGGTTCGTTTTTCCAAAGCCTGCCATCCCAAACTGAAGCAACTACTGGCTTGAATTGTGATTCTTGGAAACTGATTTATTTAGCTCTGCAGCTCTTCAAATAACTGGAGGAGGCATTTAGCCAACTTTTAAGTGAAAAAGGATATTAAAAGCAAAGTTCGCTAAGACAAACAAACGAGCCCTCCAAAATGAAAGAAGCGTCAAGCATTGTGTCGTTTCTGGCGCAACGCACATCTGCAGGTCATGTCTGTTAGCAGATTCTGTTGAAACAAAGGGAGACGTAAAATGTGTCCTGGGCTTTCTGAGGGATGAGCGCTCGGAATCTTGGGCGTTTTTGAAATAAAGACGTTGCAGGGCTATGGAGGGAAGGAAGACCATGTTTTTTTGTTTTTTAAAGAAAAGATTGTGGGAAACCGGGAAACAGGAACAAAACATTAACCAGGTGCTCAGGCGAGAGGTGAAATGCAAACTCAAAGTCTTGGGTTTTGTCAAGGTCAGATAGAAGAAATGGAGAAATTGAGGTAAAGAATACATTCAATGGGGAAAAAAATGCTTCTGCCTTTTGTCTTGTACCATCCCCTTCTTCTTAAACCCTCAAAATAATAAAGTTCATAAAGCAGAAAGGATCTGTCTGTCTATCTATCTATCTATCTATCTATCTATCTATCTATCTATCTATCTATCTATCCATCCATCCATCCATCCATCATCTGTCATCTGTCTATTATCATCTATTTATCTATCTATACATCCACCCACCATATCTATCTATCTATCTATCTATCTATCTATCTATCTATCTATCTATCTATCTATCTCTCTCTCTCTCTCTCTCTCTCTCTCTCTCTCTCTCTCTCTCTCTCTCATCTTGTGTGTCTGTCTGTCTATCAATCCTGCCAGTTTTATCCTTATTTGTCCTCACCAGCATTGGGTAATGAAACGTCTGCAAGAAAACATGCAAGCTCTGAGAGCACCAAGGACCCCCTCAGTCCTTATTTATTTATTAAATTTATAAGCCACCCATCTTGCTATCCAGAACGACTCCTAAACATTCTCCTTGCAATTTCTGCATTAAAAAAACAAACAAACAAAAAAAACCCAAATCCTGTTGCAAATCCAGGAATTCTTCTTGTCCCTTGCCGTGATCAATGTAACAGCAGAATTAAACAATTAAGTCAACAGATCTCCGATTGGTTTTCAGGAAGGGAGCAGTAGATGGACCCTGACTTTCCCCCCCAGTTTTCCTTCAACCTTATGTTTCCTCTCAATCCAAAGCCGCAAGGTAATCTAAGATAGCTACAAAGCGAATTTTCTCAAATGAAATCAATGTTTCTTTCCATTTATACTCAGGTGGAAAGCAAATCTGTTAATTGGAGTACTGAAGCACGAACACGAGGATTTTATCTTCAAAGGACGCGGGCTTTCACAAAGAAAAGGAAGCATTTCTTAAAAACAGTCGTTCAGAAAAGCACAAAATAAACACAGACACTTACGTCACGTTAGTGACATGCCAGCATCACGTACAGGCCAAACGAGCAGAAGCGCCAAGGAAATGAACTAACCAAGGCCCCTTTGCCCATCTTCAGCAATAAATTCTACATGGATATTACAGCTTTAAATCATTCAGCTTTCAAACAGAGCTTCACGGAGAAGATACGCTAAAAACGTGGATCCACAATCTCAAAGGCCCATTTTTACTCACCCAAACCATTACCTCCCACACATTTAAATGCCCCGTGCTGTGCTATCTGGGAAGAATCCAAGTACGTCTATCACTCAGAAGGAGAAACAAAACAACAACAACACAGTTTTAAAACTTACCTAAATAAGGAATGCAAGGCACCATCTTCAAGCATCGGATGTATTCCCGCATCCTCTTGTAGTTGTCCTCCTTCGACATTAAATAGTCCAGCTTCTCAAAAGTGGTCTTGTCCTTGCGATTCAAGAGCTGAAGACGAAATAAATCAAAAGAGGAGGAATGAGGTTTGCATCTTAGACGGGGTTAAAATACAGGGAAACAGCCTTCCTGCCTTTACATTTTATTTCTTTGCAACGGATTAGAGCCGTACAAAGCAACAGAATATCAGAGAGTTGGAAGGGACCCCTTTTCACACTTACAACCGTTGCAGCATCGCCCGTGGTCATGTGATCAAAATCCAGACACTTGGCAACCGACTCCTATTTATGACGGTTGCGGTGTGTCCCGGGGGGAGTCACGTGATCACTTTTTGCAAACTTCTGACAAGCAAAAGCCAATGGGAAAGCCTGATTTACTGAACATCCATGTCACTAGCTTAACGACTGCAGTGGTTCGGTTAAAGAACCGTGGCGAGAAATGTCTTAAAATGGAGCAAAATTCACTTAAGAACTCTCTCGCTGAACAACAGAAATCTGGGGCCATGTGAACTGCAGTTCTCTTTGTAGCGCAGTCTCCCAAATCAAGAAAAAACAAAACATATGCCTTGAAAACTTTCCCGGTTACACACCTGATCAATCAAAATTGGTCTTATTTTAATGGTTTATTTTTCAGTCCTGAATCGGGTTACACACATGTTGAAAGCATGAGAAATATCCCATGTGGTCCTAGTTAAGCAACGCCTTCCCTAATTCAACGCTCTTCCCTAATCGGAGAAGAAAGAAAAAGTCGGATTGTTGCCTTCTGAGTAAAGTGACGCCCAACTTAATTTTGAGAAATACTTGAAAAGCTGCCATTCCCGTCCCTTGTTACACAAAAGAGGACACACAGTTGAGCTCCTTGTCGCTAATAACAGAGACAGAAAACTTTTTTTTTATTGTTTTGAGATCAAGTAATAAGATGGGAAAGGGTCCAGTAATGGTTAGAATTGGGTTCTTTCTTGGAGATTAGCAAATCCTACTGAATTTTCAATGGAGGCAGAACATTGGCTGGGCTCCCAATGATGTCAGGGAATGCTTATACAAAAGAACAAGTTCCCTTAGGATAGTTCTAAACAACATTCGTTTTCAAAAAATGCATAAATTGAAGACCTGGAAGCTAAAGGGGAAAGAGGGCCCAGGAGGCTGGGAAAGAAACAGCTGGAGAAAAGGTAGTCTGGATTAGAAAGAGAGGGAAGAGATCTGGGCCTGTGTTCTTATTCGCACACAGTTTTGATCGAACTGCTTACGGTTTGACTGAAATGTCAACTTACAACAAAGATGACGCGGGTAAAACGCAGGGAGGACGGTTGCGGGAATTGGGCATGTCCAGTCTAGTGAAAAGAAGGACTAGGGATGACTTCATAGCAGTCTTCCAATATCTGAGGGGCTGCTCCAAAGAAGAGGGGGTCAACCTCTTCTCCAAAGCCCCTGAAGGCAGGACAAGAAGAGACGGATGGAAACTAACCAAGGAGAGAAGCAACCTGGAATTAAGGAGAAACTTCCTGACCGTGAGGACAATTAACCAGTAGAACAACTTGCCTCCAGAAGTTATGGGTGCTCCATCACTGGAGGTTTTCAAGAAGAGACTGGACAGCCCTTTGTCTGAAATGGAATAGGGTCTCCTGCTTGAGCAGGGGGTTGGACTAGAAGACCTCTGAGGTCCTTCCAACTCTGTCATTCTGTTGTTCTGCCAAGCTCTGGACATTTCTAGCCAAGGAGATGCCACTCCGATTCATTACTTGCAGGGAGACGTCATTCTTTCCTGCCACAGGCCAGCTATTCCCTTCCAGATAAACCCAACTCCTTCCAAAAGCTGTTAAGAAACCCGATGGAAAATATTAAACTATCCGTTCTACCAAAGATGCTATTAGCTCTTTATTCTCCGTAATTGAGGCAATCGTTCACTGGGTTCCAGATGTGAAGAAAGGACTCCATCTTATTATACTTGGAAAGTATATATCTCTTTTTTAAAAAAAAACAAACAAAAATCACACACAGTACCCTAATGTCATAAGAATGGAATGTTTCCGATGATCAGCACTTAGAATGAGGCAACTATCAATTCTCCCCCAAAAAGCTGTTATCAAATAAGTTTGGCTGGATCTGCAACATGCTGTCAAGATCATGGCTTGAACGGTTCAGAGAGAGCTCAGCTTTTAAGGCCAAGTCCTCATAAGCAGGCATGTAAGGGACCTCAACGTATCTAACCTTGATTAGACCAGTTCCCGAAAGGGCAACTAAGACTCCATAGGAACAGATCTCTTATGGACTCCTGAGCCACTATGAGTTAGATATACAGATGTTTGGAGACCTAGACATTAAATGAACAAAGAAGAGCAGGCTTCTCTCTCTCTCTCTTTTTAGAGAAAATAAAATAAGTATCATCTCTGATAATTTGTAGAAGAAAGGATGGTGGAATCTGGGGTTAGAGTAAAAAAGGGGGATTAGCCTAGAATCTTTTAAGTAGTCACAAGAGAACCAGCTCCAACCCTCCAGCCAATAGGAGGAGAAAAGAGAGAGGGGGGGAGGGAGGGAGGGAGGGAGAGAGAGAGAGCAGGAAATGAAATTTCCACTTCTTCCTATTCATTGGCTTCCAATATTTAAGAAAGTGTAACTTTTAACAGCCATAAATCATCAGCTGGAGAAGAAATAAATTCACCCGATAGTAAACGAAGTAACCAAAATTTATTTAAGGGAAAAAAATAGAGGTGTATTTCTAATCAAGAGACAAACTGAAAACTATACTGATTGGAAAGGATCAGCTTCAAATGTTACGATGTTTTGTTTCCCAAGTACAGAGGTTCTTTTTCCAAATAAGAAATATACTTTCAAAACAAAAACAAATTCTTCCATTCTCTGGCTGCCTTTTTGTTTTTTTTTACTTTTGCAAAATGGAGGGGAAAAAAAAGAAGTTAAAAAAGGACAGAAACCGAAAAGATACTCTAATGCATCTTGAAGAGAAACGCAAGCTTATCAAACCATCTTTTTATGATAGTCCTCTTTCAAAATAATATTTGTGCAACGTATGAGGGAAAATATTGTTAACATAACCGATAAATGATGACCAGTTAACCACCATTTTAGGGTTTTCTTAGAACTCTTATTAGTGAAGTCAATTTTCCGGACAAAACCATTCCCCAGACTTTTCTGTTTTATAGATGCAATAAGAGAGGGCTTTTACTTTTCTAATGTTTTGCAATAAAAGTCTAATAATAGGAATTTAACTCAGTTTCTGAGGCTGCATCAATTTATTTCCGCTAGGAAAATGTTTTGCAACGACGATTCACCGCAGCTAAAAACAGAACTAAATCAATGGCTTATGTTGCATTAATTTGTATACATTTGGAAAAATGTTCAGTGAACCAATAATAGCGTGCATTTCATAAGATGTCAGAAGGATTTTCCCTTTTAAAAAAAAAACATCGCTCGATAACAAAATCTTTAGTGCAAATCTCAGGTTACAACATCAGATATTTCTGCTCTTTTTCCCTTAACATCGACTGTCTCGTATTCAAGTTACTACAGTTCTAGTTATATCAACTGCATAAAAACATCATTATGCATGTGAGACTCTGAGACTCTGGAAAGAGTGCAGAGAAGAGCAAGAAAGATGATCAGGGGTCTGGAGGCTAAAACCTATGGAAGACGGTTGCAGGAATATTTGTGAAGCTGCCCCAGAGAAGAGGGGGGTCAACCTATTCCCCAAAACACCTGAGGGAAGGACAAGAAGCAATGGATGGAAACAGGCGACGCTGCCTCTTCCATTAGGGCTTGTAATTATGTACATAATGACTTTTAACGTTCCCATTCTGTGTATCAAATAAACTGGTGAATCATTATTAGCCGGGATCCAAGAAGTTACATGATTTAACCTGTACGGGCGATGGGGCCTTGAAGTCAAACTTGTCAACGCAACCACATTTCTCCCACGTTACACAGGGTGTGCGACTGATTCAAAGGAAAAACAAATGTGGGTGTATAGAGTTAAATCCCCAACCTCTTTGGGTAGGGGCTTCCTATAATAACGGACATAAAGTGGGATGCTGAGAGGAAGCATCTAAGCAGAGCTTAGTAAGCCGATGTCAAAGTTAGTCCTAGACTGATCCCCAACTTACATCCGTTCACGTGGAGGCCATTCAAAGGTACAACGGCGCTGGAAAATGTGACTTACGACCGGTTTTCACCCTTAACGACCGTTGCAGCCTCCCTGTGGTCACGTCATCACAATTTGGAGGCTTAGCAACTGGCACGTACTTATGACGGTTGCAGTGATCCCTTTTTGTGACCTCTGACAAGCAAAATCCATGGGGGAAGCCAGAACTGCTTAATTATCTTAACAACTGCAGTGATTCATTTAACAAGTATTGCAAGGAAGGTCATAAAATGGGGCAAAACCCACTTAGCAACGACCTCACTTAGCGATGGAACATTTGGGCTCAATGGTAATTGCATGTAAAGCAGCGTGAGCTTTCTTTTCTCATTTCTGTTTATTTTAACCATTAGAGAACGGGTTTTATTTCTTTGAAAATGGGCCCACGAGGTTTCATTTTTTTTTTTTAATGTCTGGGACCTAAATGTCACAGAAGGGACCACGATCCATCCCGCGACATTCGGAGTCAGAAATTAAACAGACAGTTTCGGCAACTCAGTGGGTCCTTCAAACAGAAGACCTTACAAAACGCATTTTTCTTAACAGTAGCTTTTCCCCCCTAACACGAGAAGCTGGTATATACTGTACAGGCAGCAGAGAAGCAACTGACGTCAAGTGGCACAGATTTAATTAAACGGCAGGAGGAACTTTGCAAAGAAATACAAGGAGTAATGTTTAGTGGAAAAATGTGACAGAAAGCAAATATACACGCCTTGAGCAACAGCAATTAAACAGGGAGTTGAGTTCTATTTATTTTCATTTATTTATGCAATACTTAGACCTCCTCGGCGCAGCTGGATTCCAAGTAGCTTTATGAATCCTGTCTTAAATCACGGCTCCTGTTTTCACCAGCCCATTATAAATGTTAAGAGGTAATTTTTATGTATTTGTAAACACCGCTTGGAAAGTTCTCAACTTGGCTTCTGTCATAACTCTCAAAGTTGAAGCTAAGATGTCTCTTCTTTTAGAAAAAAACCAGAATTCAGGTAGTTTTCTTCTTACAAAAGTTCATTTAGTGACCGTTTTATACACATTTCTTCTATCCAGTTGGTTCTCAACTTAGCACCATTTGTTTAGTGATTGTTTGAAGTTACAGCAGCACTGGAAAAAAATAACTTATGACCATTGTTCACTCTTACGACCGTTACAGCATCCCCAAGGTCACGAGATCAAAAATTCAGACCCCTGGCAACTGACTCATATTTATGACGTGGCCAAGTTCACTTAACAAATGAACTTGCCTAGCATTTTAGGGGGTCAATTGTGGTCATAAGTCAAGGTCTACCTGAATATTAGACTGTGTCCAATGTAGTGAAAAAAAAAAATAAAAGAATCTTTTTGAATGCTGTCCCAGATGCGGGGTTTTTAGGACGGGGAGATAGGCACAAAAATAAATAAATCGATAAATACAATTCAGAATAACTTACTGCCCAAGTTTTTGTCAACCTGAAGATGGGTGCACTTTGCAGAGCTGATACCACAGACATGAGAGAATGGAGGCTGTTCAGTTCTAGAAGTTTCTGAGGAAAGGGGTGTGGGGGAGGAAGAAAAAAAAAAAAAAGACCAAAATGCCATCAGTTTTCCATGTGGGCTGCAGACCGTTCAAGAAAATAATTGCTGTTCCAGACGCTTGCGATTCATACTGTAAATTATAGAACAGTCAAAAGACTCGACCTTAGTTTGATGCAAAACTTACAAAATGTAAAAACCAGATGTCAGGAGCCAGAGGATCCCGTTACTCGGTTGATTTCGAACACTTTTCAAGAGAGTTTAAGCAAATTAGAAAGCTTAGCACTCCCGGCTCAGATATTTAAGCATCTCCAGGCTTAATGTATGCCGATTAGTGTACATTCAACCTGAGAATAAAGTTATTATTCTATTCTATTCTATTCTATTCTATTCTATTCTATTCTATTCTATTCTATTCTATTCTATTCCCCCCAGCAGTATCAAAGAAGGCAGGATTGATGTCAAAAAGAAAAAAAAAATATTTAGAGAAAGAATTAGATGTAATGTCCCAAACTCACCTTTGCTATTTTGACAAAGTGGCTGAGAATCTCCGCCCTTATTTTTAAGGTCTGTGCTGTTAAAATTTCTCGTACCACCCAGAAACTGACCTAAAAAGAATGAGGCAATTTCACAGAGTTAAAAAAACTAAAACCTTGTTTAAGATGATGGAACAAGACAGGCAGAGCAGGTAGCATAAACTGGTAGATACGGAGACAATCATAGCCAAATTAACCAAAATTAAAGGGGCCCGAATGATATGGATGCGGTCTTCAACTTACAGCCACACTAGAGCCCAAAATTTCTGACAGTTCTTAAGTGAATTTTGCCTCGTTTTACGACCTTTCTTGCCACAGTCATTAAATGAAACCACTGCAGTTGTTAAGTGGGTCACACAGTTGTTAAGTGAATCGGGCTTCCCCATCGACTTTGCTTGTCAGAAGTTCGCCAAAGGGGACCACGAGACCCTGGGGACACTGCAACCGTCATAAGTACATGTCAGTTGCCAAGCGTCCAAATTTTGATCGGTCGTAAGTCACTTTTTCAGTGCCGTTGCAACTTCAAACGGTCACTAAACAAGTCGAGGACTAACTGTGTATCCTCAGGGAGGGAGAGAGCTGTTATATTATCTAGCATGGTTGCATCAGTTCAGAGTGCAAATTATGGATTAAATACAACGCTAAATAGTTCAGGCAGCTGCTCTGCCTAATAGCATACCATCTTTAATATGAGAGATAAGTGCTTTGCAGCCTGGGAAAATACCAAACTCCTCTGAAAATCCTAATTGTTTAGGTTCACTACAAGTACCAGTGTAAACCCACCACTCTTAAGTGCCTTATACAGAATGTAAATTAGTTACAAATGGAGTCTGTATTTATATCCCTCTGCTCATTAAAAATAGCTGTTTATATTGGTTTCCTTTTCCCAGCTGGATTCAGTTTCACTTCAGCTGTTTCTTTCTTTCTTTCTTTCTTTCTTTCTTTCTTTCTTTCTTTCTTTCTTTCTTTCTTTCTTTCTTTCTTTCTTTCTTTCCTTCCTTCCTTCCTTCCTTCCTTCCTTCCTTCCTTCCTTCCTTTCTTTCTTGATTACAATTGATCACAAATCTGCCGATTTCGTAAATAAGGACAGTTTGCAGAATTCTCGAGGCCGGCCAGGAAAATCTACTTTTAAAATTGACATCTGTCAATTTCAAATGGATACGGTTGTGTTAGCAAGGGAGAAAGTGTCCCAACAACTTATGGACAACAAGAATGTCAGCAATTGCCTCGGATCGATGCTCCTTTTTTCTTTTTAAAAACAAAACAAAAACAAAACTTACAAACAGACCAGGTCTTTGTTGGAAGGGCAACGTTATTTTCAATCAGTGTTTCGAAACAACACACAATTCCTGTTACCTGATTAAATCTCCTCGTAAAGGCAACAACATTAGGGGCAAGGATGTGTTTTTCTTTCTTATTCCATCCACAGCTTGCAAGTTCCTAAAAAAAATACAACGGCATGGTGTTAATAAAAAAAATTTGCCTCCCCAAAAATGAAATAACGTATTTTATTTGACAGTGTCAGAGACAACAGATAGACCAAGAGAAATAAAAAATTCCTCAGCAGCATCCTGACGCTAAAGGCACTTTAGTTATGTCTGCAATACAGACACGAGTCCTGTTTTGGCTCAGCTCCCTATTAGACAATGAAGAATCAGTGGTAAAGCTAACTACAGGAAGGGCACTGAATTTGCAGGATCCGAACAAAATGGGACTTGTATACAAAACATTTGTCTGCTACCTATAACCTGTAGTCAGTTTTTAGAAGAAAAGAAACACTTAAAAGAGAATATTTATAGCTCAGGGTTGAACTGTGGGGTCCTTGGTGCTCTCTGAGCTTGGAGTTTTCTTGCAGACGTTTCATTGCCCAGCTAGGTAACATCATCAATGCTAGAATGAAGTAGGGGTTAAGGAGGAGGAGGAGGTGGGTGCGTGGGTGGGTGGTAGAGTTCCTAGTACTCTCTGAGCTTGGCGGTTTTCTTGTAGACGTTTCATTACCCAACTAGGTGACATCATCAGTGTTACCAATGATAGTAGCCATGATGATGTGACCTAGGTCAGTCATGAAACATCTGCAAGAAAACCACCAAGCTCAGAGGGCACCAGGGACCCCACAAAAGACACCCTCTCTGGATTGGATTGACCAACCTTATTAAAAAGTTGAGTCACAATGGGCTTTTCCATTTATTTTAAAGAACTTAAATGTCTATTAACAGCCTGGATCTAGGCTGTTAATGTCTTTGTGTGAATAGTTCTGACCCACAATTGAAAGCCAGAGGTGGAGAAGGACAGAACAAACTCACATCGCCAAGAAGCACAGCTGTGAGGGACGGCTTTATAAATCAAGAAACAAATAAAATGTCTAATCATTCTGGCCAGACATTTGTTGAGGTAGCCAAAGACCAGCTACTTCTACTGCCTCCGACATATAATTTACAATCAGAACCGATCTTCAGTTGGAAATAAACTGGCTTTGAGGATAGATGCTGGTGCTAACCCAGTTTGCACACAATGCCTCTGTTGTGTGCCCTCTTATTTACTGTAAGGAAAATATCTCACCAGAAAACAGATTTATTGCTCCTATGCTCCTTGAGCTAAGCAATTCACTGCCACAAGGAGACCAACTTAAATGAGTTTATTTTTATTTAACCCACCATAGTCTTTTTTGTACTCTGTAATATCTGTTATATAAACACTCACTAAACCAGACAAGGGTAATGAGAATAAATTTGCCGAGGTCTGAATGCACTGAGGCTGAAAGTAAACAGAAATAATATCTGTAAAATCCATTCAGCTATTTTTCACTCTATAAAGCTTCTGATGTGTTTTTCCGTTGCTACTCTTCGTATTACAGCAGAGTGGCAAACTACCTTTTGCAAACATTTATTTATTCTGAAATAGAGATAAGGAGAACCCTCTGACAGACACAGAAATTAGATTTGTAGTTTTTATTATGATACTGTCAGGGTAATAATTCTTCTCTCAGCTTCAGTGGCAGGAAAATGCTTTACTGAACACAAGCAGGAAGCTGCTAAATTTTCCCCAAAATAATGGTGCTGGTGCTGGTGCTGCTGCTGATAATATGTTGATAAAAATGCCATATCCAGCCTAAACATCTGGCTGACTCCGCAAACAACCATAACAATGTATTATATTGATATGCTTCCTGGCATATAAGGTGGAAAGATACTCATACAATTAAAGTAAGAAACATTAAACATTTCTACAGCATGTTGATCATTACTTCTGCTATATGTTGTTCTCTTTGGAAGTTTCATCCTCATTTTTTTTTTTTTTGAAGTTGGACCATGTTTCCCAAGTAAGATTTAGTGTATTATTCTGATTACTCTCCCGTGAATAATAGCAGGAGTTACCAATGATTAATGCAACAGTTTTTAACAGCAGCAAATGTCCAAGAATAATCACAGCAATTGTGTTCCTTCCAATGAGGATGATTAGTTTATTTTAAAATAACATGTGTGAGTTATGTAAGCAAAAATTGTCTCCTTCAAATCCCATGGAATCAGCCTAGGAAAACCTTTTTCAGTTCTAAAAATGGACCATCTGGTCCCGTGGCCCTCAACCGTGTGTGTGTGTGTGTGTGTGTGTGTGTGTGTGTGTGTGTGTGTGTGCATGCGTGCGAAGGCTTGAAGAAATGTTATGATTTAAATCTTGAGTTAAGTCTTGGTGGTCCATGGCCACAAAAGGTATTTAAAGAAGATCTGTGGTGAAGAAAAGATTGAGAACCGCTAATCTAGAACATTTCCGTCTTAATCTATTTCAGAATAAACTACGACACAACCAAGGTGTGTTAAAATGGACCTATTCATGCTGGGGGAAAAAAACAGGAACCATTATTATGCAGTTGGTAGTCTCCAACATGCAGTCAGTGTGGCTCACGGAATTAAACGCTGACAAATTTGCCCTTGTTCGCTTTCTTGTGTTCAAAGAGAAATCTCTTCACGTTTACACATATTGGACTCATTAAAGTCATAAAACATCCTGAAAGGCTTTATAGTTTTATGTTCTTTGGAATGTCGGTGGGTTCAAGCGTTAGAAAATGTCAAAGGCCTGACAGTTGCCCATCAATAAACATGTAGACATAAACAGTATCTACGCCCTGTGCCAAAGAGACAAACAGTAAGCCAAAGAGGGAACAAAAAGACCAGAACATCACCCTGCCAGCAATCAACACCCAGATGAGCATAGATTAACATCAAGATTAATATCAGGCCAACAATCAAGAAGTAAACAATACCCCAATCAAGGCACTGCCAACAGTAAACAGCCCAATGAAAGATCCTAACAAGCCACTAGAATATAAACAGAGAGAAAAACCCCATCACCTACTAGCACTGATGATGTTACCTAGTTGGGTCATGAAAGGTCTACAAGAAAGCAACCCAGCTCAGAGAGCACCATTCCTCCTCCTCCTCCTCCTCCTCCTCCTCCTCCTCCTCGCAAACCTTGCTGACACTTGATCACATGGTTTGGTCAACAAGATTATCACTACGGAAACCCCAATCTCAAGAATAATACTCCCTAGAAGATTAGAGCAGAGTTTTAAAATAGCCAGCTGGAAAAGTGAGCAACATAATCATCCCCAGCCTAATTAGTCTGGGGACACAGTACATATGTTGCCTATTAAACTACAGATAAACAATTATATATCAAATGTTGTGGCTACATTTACCAGAAATTTGAAAGAAAGAAAAAAAATAACCATTTCTTCTATTTCTCAGTGAATTTTTTTTTTTTTAAACCAGCCTTTGTGTATTACAACATCTGCCACTTTTTCCCCTTGTCTTCTGCCAAATTTTAGTTGAGCGGTCAAACATATGGGTCCTATAGAAAGCGTATTTTAGGAAGCTTGAATAGCTTGACAGGCATGCAGTCCGAAGGTTGAAATAAATGTGGCATCTGCAGCCCAGCAATTCCGTAAGTGAAGTCAACACAGCTACTGTACGCAACACAATCAGACAGAGATGACGACTCGGTTTTGAGCAGGGCTGGAGATCATGTGAAATGAAGTATGGTGGGACAGCTTCACGTCACGTCAGGCAAACCCAACGAAGTTATGAAGCTTTCTCTCTGAAGAGAACCAAGGATATTGACACAAAACGCCTCAAGGTCCCTCCTTCATCAACTGGTATGAGATGTGATCATCCAGGTAGAATCAGCAGAAAGAACTGGAATTCTTGGAGCTGTTTATGAAAAGTCACCCCCAGAGAACTGCTTGTGAGGGCAGCGCTATTAAGAATGGAAGGCAGGGTGACTTCCGTGAAACTTAAGAATATAATGTGGTGTCGTTGGCGCTCTCTGAGCTTGGTGGCTTCTTTGCAGATTGAGGATGTTATCTAGTTGGGTCATGAAACATCATCTGCAGGAAAACCACCAAGATCAGAGAGAACCAAGGACCCTATAATCCTTCCCTCCTCTTCCACTCCACAAACCCGTTTACTTTTTAGCACAGATGATATCACTGATCTTGATGCTACCTAGTTGGGTAATGAAACGTTTGCAAGAAAACCACCAAGCTCAGAGAGCACCAAGGACCACACAGTCCTCCTCCTCCTCCTCCTCCTCTCTCTCCCTCCTCCTTCTCCTGAACTCCACACACTCCACTCCCTTCCAGCACTGATGATGTTACCTAGTTGGGTAATGAAACATCTGCAAGAAAACCGCCAAGCTCAGAGAGCAGCAAGGATGACTCCTTCTCCCCCTCTGGTTTTCTTGCAGACGTTTCATTACCAAACTAGTTAACGTCATCAGAGCTAGCAGGGAGTGGGGGTTTGCTCTCTCTACTAGCACTTTCCACTCCCTTCTATCACTGAGGATGTTACCTAGTTGGGCAATGAAACGACGGCAAGAAAACCACCAAGCTTAGAGAGCAATAAGGACCCCACCGTTCAACCTGGAGCTATAAATGTTCTCTTCCGATCAGAATATAATGTGCTAGGGTATGAGTGAAATCTTTGCTGTTCTTTCTTTTGCAAAAAATCAGAATCTAATAAACGGGAGCCTAAGGGTTCTTCTTTACCAATAGCAACATTCTGTGTTAAAAGGGCACGTACCTCTGGCTGTATAGCTTTAAATACTGGCATATCCATCAGTGTAATCTGACTCTGTGACAAAAATGAAAGGAAGAACGATTATGCATTTTGAAAAAACACTGAAGTCTGGCAAGTCCACTCTGGTCCTGTCTAGAAAGCAGCCAGGGTATCTAAATTCACAGGCTGTTGTGATGCACTGAATAAGGTACTTGGGTTGACACCAGTCAGCATTTTGATTTTCCTCCCCTATCCTCAAATGCAGCTGACGATGCCCTTTATTTATGGCTACCTAGGAAGCAAAAGGCATGCCAAATTACTTAATTTAGGAATTATTACAATATTTTTGGAACTCTGTACAGGCAGTCGACTCCCCTTGAGCAGTGGGCTGGACTAGAAGACCTCCAAGGTCCCTTCCATCTCTATTCATTATTCTATTCTATTCTATTCTATTCTATTCTATTCTATTCTATTCTATTCTATTCCATTCCATTCCATTCCATATTTTCTATTCTATTCTATTCTATTCTATTCTATTCTATTCTATTCTATTCTATTCTATTCTATTCTATTCTATTCTATTCTATTCTATATTCCAATATCTATTCTATATTCCAATATCTATTCTATTTTCTATTCTATTCTATTCTATTCTATTCTATTCTATTCTATTCTATTCTATTCTATTGACTTAGGACCACAATTGAGCTCAAAGATTCTGTTGCTAAGTGAGACATTTCTTAAGTGGGTTTTGCCCCATTTTTACGACCAACTGCAGTGATTCCCTTAACCACTGAATGGGAACTTATTTTGGCCACTACGGTTACTACTATTTGGTACACATCAAAAAGCGGCCGTTTTACTTACCGCAAACTCCTCTGGAGTTACTTTTAGCATGTCAAACACCACAGCATCGTAGCTTTTATGAGCATAATCTGAACTCCGTCCTTCCAAAGAGTCAGAACTGCTACTGCCCTAGAAGGGGGGAGGGGGAGAGAAAGGCATGAAAAAATGCATATAATTGGAAGGGGTTACTAAGGCAAGTGAATCCAATGTTTCTCCCTGTGCAGGGATGCAAGTCAAAGCATCGAGGAGAGATTGAAATCCAACGAGGAGAAAGAGAACAACAAATTGCCTTCCATAACATCTCTTGGTTAGGAGGCTTACCAATGAACCGAAGAGGAACAAAAATTATCTGCTCCTGTTTCCAACCATGAGACTTTTTTCCTCGGGTATAAAAGAATCTCTGTTCACTGCCAGAGATATCTGCTCTCAAAGGTTAGAAAATGGAGTGGAGGTAATCCCCTAATCTGTTCCGTGCAATTTCTCTCCGTGGTGGGAGAAGAAAATCCACAGAGTTGCTGACAAATTATGTTCAGGCTTAAGGAGTTTGTTGGAAAATATCAGGGATAACGTGATTATTTAAGCACTAACAATGCAAATGGGTGGGAAAAAAATGATCAAGATTTATTTACAGCAGTCCTATTAAATAAGGGCAGAAGAATTGGATGGTGCTAGATGCAAATCTTACTAGAGATGTTTAAAAAGCAAGGTTGCAATCCTAGACACGTTGATTAAGGAGAAGCTGTCCTTTAAAAATCAGATCTCCTACAGATGGCACAGTGTCCAACCATCCCAGAAGCAATTCAGTCTTCTAGTTCTAGTTGGAGAAACGCCATCGCATTAAAAAAAAAAAAAATCCCAGCTATTTAAATGTATTGTCTGAAAAAATCACCGAATGAAACTGATTGGAATGAAACCATAATAGCGTGAATATGTATGCAGAATAATTCTGTCCTGTTTTGAAACCAAGAGATTCAAAACTGATGTTCAGACCAGACCCAGCCTGCAGTCCCAAGAACTTTTTATCTTTGAACTGCTGATGTGCAAACAGCATCTATTTTTGAACAAACATGTGAAGAATTTCTCTGTCTTGAGAAAATGAGCCCAGTGAATTATTTCCATCTGCAAGGCATTAGATGTTAATTGCTATGACTTGAGTGTGTAAAGACAACAGTAGAAATTTCCTAACCTAATTTGTGGCCTAAAAGACTGGACACCATATGATCTTAACTATGAGGAGGAAGAAGAGGAGGAGGAGAGGAAGAGGAGGGGAAATAGAGGAAGAAGAGGAGGAGAAAGAGAAGAAGAAAAAGAAGGAGGAGGAGAAGAAGAAAGCAACGTATTTTACAAGACTTACATAGTTGCACAGACGAAACCATGACCGTGATCATAATCATAATATAAAAAAGAATTTTCCTTAAAATCCTTTCCGCTTTTAAATGCTTTAAGAAATGATCAGCAAGCAGTATGTGTCAATGTGTTGATTAAATAAATGTTCGTTTTAATTCCCAGACAGCTCCCCACGAAAGGGATGACGCTGCCCAGATGAGGAACCATGCCTTCTTCCCTTCAGTCAACTCCTGAGAACCACCACACAATTCCCTCCGCCCCTGCCCCCCCCACAACATCTGGAATTGTTTCACAGCTGTGTGGTTCTCTTAGTTAGCTAATCTGAAAAGTGTTTGCAATTTGGCCTTTAAATCTGTCACCGAAAAAAGGCCTTTTGACAGGGCTTGAGAAGGCAGGAAATCCCTTTCTTCGCCCTTGGATAGATCCTGTTCTACTTTAGAGGAAATATTCTAAGTACGTGGAAAAGATCTATTCTTCACTGCAGAAGACATTAAATAGTGAACTTTCAAGGAAACTATTATAGAGGGTCTGACCCATTACTTCAGGAACACGGCTGGGATTCGGCTAAATCAGGAGGTTAAATCCTTCTCGTCCCTAATTTTTATTTTAGTTAAAAAAAAAAAAACTATTCTCAACTTTAAGGAATTGTAACTGTGGGATCCTGGGTGCTCTCTGAGCTCCTTGCAGACGTTTCATTACCATACTAGGTAGCATCATCAGTGTAGTAGGCACGTTGCACTCCCTACGAGCACTGACATAGGTTGGTAAGGACAGGTCTGCAATAAATCCACCAAGCTCAGAGAGCATCAAGGACCGCACACGCCTTTGCCGGGGAAGATGGGACTGAGACTGGCCTATTAAAGACCGTTTTAAGTTTACAAATGTCATCGTTGTGCTGCTTCTTAAACCAAACAGCAGACCGCCTCCTGGAGATGCCCAACTAAACTGTGGTTTGTTTTGAGTTGGAATGGAAACGGTACCTCTGGAGTGGCGGAGGTCACGGTCACGTTGGCCATGAGGCCATTCCTTTTATACATTCTCTTCTTGGAACACAAGAGCTTCAGTTCAGCCACCACTGCTGATGTTATAGGTTGAAAGGAGAACTGCTGCAAGGATGAGAAGACGCTGGCTTTAGAAAGTCCATCCATCAAAAGACAACAATAATTAGGAGAATAACAGAATAAGGGACCTTGGAGGTCTTCTAGTCCGACCCCCTGCCCAAGACAGCAGTCCTTATATCACTGCAGACAAAGGGTTGTTCAGCCTCTTCTTAAAAACCTCTAATGATAGAGCACCCACAACTTCTGGAGGCAAGTCATTCCACTGGTTAATTGTTCTCACTGTCAGGAAGTTTCTCCTTAGTTCCAGGTTGCTTCTCTCCTGGATGAGTTTCCATCTGTTGCTTCTTGTCCTGCCTTCAGGGGCTTTGGAGAATAGCTTGACCCCCTCTTTTTTATGGCAGCCCCACAAACATTGTAAGACTGCTATCATGTCACCCCTGGTCCTTTTTCATTAAACTAGACATACCCAATTCCAGCAGCTATTTTAGCCTCCAGTCCCCTAATCATCTTTGTTGCTCTTCTCTGCCCAAGATCCGCAGATGAGATGAAGTTGGCAGAGCAAAGGGCCATATAGATATATAGATGATTATTTTTTGGGATGTGCGTATTGATGAGATGGTGGAGACAGCACAGAAGGTCCAGCTATACATATGAAAATATGTCGAAGCTGGCTTAGCAGAAGGATGGAAAAAAACTTAAAATATGGATTTTCTATCACCACTTTACTAAATATTCTTTTGGCTCCCCTGTCTGGTTTCTCCTTTTATTTATTTATTTATTGGTTTTTTTGGTACTTGAGGGCTCAAAAACAGCGCATCCCATGAACACAACAGAAAATTCCATATGCAATCTTGCTACCCATCCAGCTTCAGTTGTAGCTTCCAAAGATAAAATTAACCCAGGCGGTACAGAGAGGCCTTAATGACTTTTGCACCAGTCTGCAAAAGAACAAAAAAAAATTTCCCTAACGTTTCAGCAGAAAGCTTTTTAAGGGCTCAACTCCTGGAGAGTAGCAAGAATACATGGGAAATTCCACCTTATCTGTCACGCAACCTTCGAAATTGATGTTCTTTGAAAAACGGCCTTCTTTTCGATTGTTGGATAAGCCTTCTTTGAAAAATGGCCCGATAAAGCAATTGTTTTCCGGGCAGGATTCTATGCTCAGAGAAACCTTGACAAGATACCAGATTAAATCAGCCTTTCTCTTAAAAAAAAATAATAAAAATCTGGGGGTAAAAGAAAATGTCGACATAATGCAAATCTTGTCTCTTTTCTTTCTTCTTTAAAGAAGGCTTGCCAAATAATTACCAAATTGGAAAGAATTCTGGGATTCAATCAGTTCCCCCGGGTTTGTGTTAACTTTTGTTCACTCAAGTCCCAGAGAATAATAATAATAATAGTAATAATAATAATAGTAGTAGTAGTAATACGGTTACCTTCCTGAGCAGGGGGTTGGACTAGAAGATCTCCATGGTCCCTTCCAATTCTATTACTATTACTATTATTATTATCGTTTATTCATTAGATGTGAACCTCAGTCAACTGAACATCCCAGCCAATTTGAATGTTCAGTTGACTGAGGTTCATGTTTAATGAATAAAAGATAATAATAATAATAATAATAATAATAATAATAATAATAATAATAATAATAATAATAATAATAATAATAATAGTAATAGTAATAGAGTTGGAAGGGACCTTGGAGGTCTTCTAGTCCAAGCCCCTGCTCAAGTAGGTAACCCTATACCATTTCAGATGAATAGTATAGAAGACTCATAGCAACTAAGATCGGATATTCTTTTTTGGGGGGGGGGAGACAAAACCTATTTTGATATACAATAAGAAGGATTTTTGGAATTCCATGACTAAGGGTAGAGTATTTGAGACGTACATTTTCCATTTCTTGATCCAGTCGATCAATTCCAACCTGTTTTTACAAATCCTTGCCATTTTTTACAAGATTACTACAAAGTACCGGCATCTTCCTAGAATCATAACCTATTCAGCGGTGCCATCTAGCGAACAGAAAATGCAAAAATCATTTGATGAACTTGACTGTTCATATTTTCCCTACCCCACTGAATCCACTCTGCGAGAAATATGGTGATGTTTCATGATGCATAAAACAGAAAAAAAAATGAATGTAACACGCCCTATTCTCCGAGGTCAAAAACACTGAGAGCAAAATTTTAATTAGGTTTTCTGACAAAAAAAGGTCACTAATAATGACCCGTAGAAGAACGTAATTTGAAAATATTCTTCCTTCTTCTGTGTTGTGAAGGCTCCCCATCTGTAGATTTTCTAAAGTGATTAATGTAAAAATATAGATCCCCATATGAAAAGGTACAAATATTATTCAAATATTTCAGATATTGATACAGGTAAGTGTTTGACTTAAGGCCACAAAATTTCCACTGCTAAGCAAGGCTATGTTGTTGTAACTTTGAACAGTCACTAAACTGTAAGTCGTAAGTTATAAGTCAAAGACCATTTCTTTATTTCAGTCAGATTCCAATCCTTCCCTCTATGATTTTGTCACATCCATAAATCTTTCCTCCTTCCTTCAGGATAAATCAAACTTACCCATAATGAATTTTTCTTCTGAGTTTTAAGTACAGGCAATTAAACGCCAGTGAGACATTGGAGCGCATCTCTCAGAAGTGGTTTTTCTGAAAAAGACAATTAAGAGGCAACACAGAGCTGTCATTTTTCTCTTGCTTAGATTGCAAAGGCAGAAGAACAGTTGAAAGAGAGTTTTTCATAAGTTCCAGCTTTATGATCATAAATTATTGTTCTATTCTATTCTATTCTATTCTATTCTATTCTATTCTATTCTATTCTATTTTATTCTATTTATTCTGTACAGTGAGAGCTTCTACACCGGAGACAAATTCCTTGTGTGTCCAATCACACTTGGCCAATAAAGAATTTCTATTCTGTTCTCTTTGGGTTGTAGGCAGAAATCAGTAATAACACTTGGTCTGAAGCACAGATTTATTAAATTCCAGATACAAAATTAACATAACTGATTATTGCTGAAGCTCAGTCTTTAATTAATCACTCGCAAGGAAAATTTTGCTGTCTATTGGCACTAGAAGAGGAAAATAACTTAGAAGAGGTTTTTTTTTTTCTTCCCCTGAATATCTGGGATCACAAAACTACTATGTAGGGTTTTTGGAGACAGGCAGGCAGCTATAAATGGCACTGAAAAGACAACAACATCCATTGTGAGCTCCCTAGAGGACAGATATCTGTTTGTCCCTAAAATACTCTGTAAACCATTGTACGTGCCATAAACTATTGTATGCATGGCTTGTGTGTGTTTTCTTTTAAACTTGCTCTTTAAAAAAAAAACAGACATATTTGTAGAAAGAACGTGGCAGCTGTAACATTTCTTATATATTTGAGCAAACTGACACCCTACAAAGAGCTTATCTATCATATACACCTATCATCACAATTCAAATAATTTCCTTCTTAATTCTCAAAGGCAGACCGAATAATATTCACTTCAGTGGGGGGAAGCAAAAAAAGATATTTGCATAGATTTGGGCTAATAGCTTCTTCAGTTACCAGTGGTCCTCGATTTACCACAACAGTTGAGCCCAACTGTGGCTGAGTGAGACATTGGTTAAGTTTTGCCCCATTTTACGACCTTTCCCGCCACAGCTGTTAAGGGGATCACCGCAGTTGTTAAATTAGTCAAACTTTTGCTAAGTGATTCCGGCTTCCTGGATGACTTTGCTTGTCAGCAGGATGCCAAAGCGGATCACGTGACCCCGGGAGCCTGCGACCGTCATAAATATGAGTCAGTTGCCAAGTGTCCGAATGTTGAACTCGTGACCACGGGGATGCTGCGACGGTTGTAAGTGTGGAAAACTGGTCCTAAGTCACTTTGAACGGTCACTAAACAAACTGTTGCAAGTAGAGGACTGCCTCTATTAAATAAAGGTCCTAATTCTCACTTCCCCTAGAACCAAGACATGAAAACAGACACACATACTCACAAACACATTTCAAACCGCTACGCCCTGGACCCGCGCAACTGTCTACGAAATTCTTTGAAGGTCTTGTGTAATCGGCTTTTTTGCTCCAAACTTTGTGTGTGTACAAGGAGCAGCTCGTGAGTTTTACGCTTGTTTACGTCTTACGGAATCAACACCGGAAACACTATTGCAAAATCTCTCCACTTGTTTTCACAATTTAGAGACAAAAGCAAATTATTGTCCCTCTAAGGGATATATGCCCATTCCTTATTTTTTTTCCCCTTTTTCCAAATATATTCCAAAGCTGGAAGATAAACTGCATCTTTTTCAGCTTCTTAGCAGCCACGTAGAAAAATTGATTTAAATGACGTGCCTTTTATTTATTTGCTTTTAATCTGAAGTGGAGTGCGCAAACCATAAAGGCAGTTGATTATTAAGCTGAGTTAACTTTTCCCCTGATCCATCGGTTTCCTGGAAACTGAATTTATGAGAACTGTGCGCCTATTACTGAGTATTAAAAATGGATTCAGAGACAAGAAGTCAATCACATTTAATGGTGGCCCATTTGGATGCTTTTGAGTCTTGGAATGAAAGAAACATCTTTTTTCTTTAACTGCGCTACTCTTTAATTTGGACTTACATGAGCAAGATCTAGGGAATTTAGGATGTGTACCCAATGCCTGCAAGCGTTCTTTGTATGTTTTGGCCTCCAGCCCCCTAATCATCCTTGTTGCTCTTCTCTGCACTCTTTCTAGAGTCTGAATAAAAAAGATGTTGAAGCTTTGGAAAAGAGAAGATCAACAAGGATGATTAGGGGGCCGGAGGCTAAAACATACAAGGAACGGAGACAGGAATTGGGTATGTCCAGTCTAATGAAAAGAAGGATTAGGGGAGATATGATAGCAGTCTTTCAATATCTGAGGGGCTCCCACAAAGAAGGTCAACCTATTTTCCAAAATAGCAAAAGGTAAGACAAGAAACAACGGATGGAAACTAACCAATGAGAGAAGCAACCTAGAACTAAGGAGAAACTTCCTGACAGTTAGAACAATTAACTGGTGGAACCACCTGCCTCCAGAAGCGGTGAATGCACTAACACTGGAAGTTTTAAAGAAGAAACTGGACAGCCATTTGTCCGAAATGGTATAGGGTTTTCTGCCTGAGCAGGGAGTTGGACTAGATGACCTCCAAGATCCCTTCCAACTCTTTGTTATTCTATGTTCTAATTGAAGGACGACCCTTTCTGAACCAGTTCAAAGGCGCACACATAGAAACCATGTACCCATCCTTTTAAATTAATTCCACAGCACATTAATTAAAGGCTCATTTTATAGGGAATCAAACTGTTGCTACATCTGGTCTAGGTTTTCCCACCTTAGAACTGCCTAACCCAATATCGTCTGTAATAGGAGAGCATTTAAGTAAATTTTCCAACCAAATTATTAATTTGCTAAAAACCGGACGATAACTGGGATCAAATTTCCTTAAGGTTCCCATCTCCTTGACTACTTAGTAAACAATTGATAATTTGCAAATCAATCCTCACAATCATTAACTGCAGCAATCCAAGCCAGAAACACATTACCAACCATCTGTTTATGAAGTTGCTGAATAGTCATAGAAAAAAAAAAGGTAATACTGGTTGGAGATTTTTCTAAAAAAAAAAAATAGAACATCAAGTTTGTTCCCTTAATACATTTCTAGCTAACCACACTGCAAGGTCTGTGGAGATGAACACTGAACGCACATTAATTTTTCTTATAAATTAGCAGCGTTTCCCAATTTATCTGTAAGAATTGAGCCGAGCTATTTACCAGACATTCCGCCAGAAAAATAACTATCCTGAATCCTGGGTGAATTCTTCGCAATCTTCAGATTTGTTGGGAATAACGCTGAGGGAGCGGCCTATTTATGGAAACGTAAGCTCGAAATGCCGGAATTAAATACAGACTGTTCTGAAACTTGAAAAAATCAATAGTTCGGCTCTGCATGCTTTAGTTTGTTGTGACATCCAGATTGAGCAAGGCATGGTTACCGTAAACTATGGAAGACTAAAGCTCTTTGCAGAGCCTCAATCGCCCATGACTTTTCTACTAATAGTAGTTACAAGCTGTTGCTACATCCATTGTTGTCATGGTCATTCAAAGCAGTCATTCATGACAAACAAAGCGAGGCACACACGGAAGTTGCTTTGAAGGAGACCATTAGCCAGAAAAGTTACAAAACCGAATTAGGGAAAGAAAAATAACAATTACGAAAGGTTGTTCTAAAGATCTCTGCCTTCTTGAATCTTGGGAAGAGAGACAAGGTAAGGTGATTTTAAAACCATTTGTTCATATATTTATTGAAATGGGAAGTCGAGGACTGTCTGTATAATGATTGCAAGCATTAAAGTCAGAAGAGTAAACATCTCAACTGAAAGTCTGGGTCAAAAACTTCTCCGTTCACTTCTCAACAACTCTAATTTCAAAATAAATGACATTTAAAATAAATTTAGCCCCACATCTTAATAACAGGAAAATCCTCCCAACAGCTAAATGAAGTTGTTCATAAATATGTTTATTTATAAAATAAAGGCCAACAGGAACAGGAAGAATAACCACAAAATAACCAGGACATAACATGTCGTAAAAATTAGTCAGTTATGTACTTTGTTTCTCAATGTTTATAAAGAAGAATTAGCTTTTCTAACAACCCGATATCACATATTTTCTGAAAGGTTTCTTGATCTGATGGCTGATTTTTATAGCCCACTCAACAAGTCCTTCTTACTTGAAGGAATATGCCAATATATATTTAGCAAAGCCAATCTAAATAAAGTCCTGTATCTTATCTAGTTTTGTTAAGGCCTCCAAAGTTTGCTTGTCTTCTCAGTGTCTAGAATATCCATCTGCCCAACATTTTTCACTTGTCTGGCTGTCTTCCTTTTCATATGTTTAGAAACTGTTCTTATGAAGGTAGCACCATTAAACTTTATAATTTGCCTGGCAAAAGAAGCTTGTCAGCTTTGGAAAAGACGGTAGCCATTGGCAAGTACTTTTATGGATTTCTCATTTTAAAAAAAATAACCCTATCAGAAACATACACAGTTGTTTCCTTGGCAGGCTTAATTAAAGCCTAATTCCCTTTCATATATCACTGATGATGTTCCCTAGTTGGGTAATGAAACGTCTGCAAGAAAACCCAAAATTTCAGAGAGGGCTAGAAAAACGCCAAGAAATGTGAACGAAAATGTATTCCTTTGTTGCCCATAATTTCAACTAGTTTTTGAGATTTCCAGAGATTAACACACAATGGGCGGCTATACAAAATGTTTTAAATGCATATATACATTCGTATTCCAGAAAGGTAACCCCCCCAAAAATCCCTAAAACTAAACCTCCAGTTCTCCTCATTCTTGGCTGCTTACTATAGCAACCCCAATCCTTACAAAAAATTAAAACCTTATTTCAGAATGTTGTGGTTTTTCCAGGAACATGGAAGCAAGGCGGGAATCTCTCCCGGTACCCAAAGTCCAGCTGAAGCAAAAATTTTGGGTAACAGAAGGTAGCGTAGCTAAGCTACTGATGGTCGGTGCCAAGATCGTGGAGGCAGTCACTCAGACGGACCGTTATTACGACACGGCTTCGGATGATCTAGCAATGGCTGGATTATGGCTAAGTCAAAGGGACCAAGAGTGGTTTCTCATAGTAGAATCTCAGAAGGAAGAACCCCAAAGAAAGCTTGAGGAACAAAGCCAGGGAAATGTCACCAATCCAGAATCTTTATGCCAGAAGATGAGCCTTGTCCAGCTGGACCCTCCTCATGTCTGTAGGAAGTCATCCAAACCAAATCCAGAAGAGCTGGAATCTTTCCTCAACCACCAGGGTCAACAGCTTGACGGGAAGACAGCAGATTCAGAATCCGACGGTCCAAATGTTAGTTCTACCTTCACAGAGTTGGTAGGCAAGAAGGAGGTCATGGCCTACCTAGAAACCCATCTTCACCTAGATTTACAAACCGAGGAACGAGAAGAGGCAACGATGGAAATTTTCCTGCAGAAGGCAGGCATAGAACATTATGCCAGCAACCACCTCATTAACCAAACCACATATCTATTGTCGGATAGGTATACTATTATCGTCCAAAGGGAAGAGAGTGGTTTAAGGGAGTCTGTAATGGTGTCGTTAGAGGTTGATGTTTTTAACATTTGCGGAGGTTGGGAAGAGATTGAAAAATTGGCCGCTTACCTGGGCTTTGAACACCCAGGAAGTCAGAGCGAGCGAGAATTTATGAAGTAGCAAACCACCCAAATAAAAAAAAAAGCAATTGCTTTCTGAGGAATTATTAAAGCCGGGGTAATAGGATGGTGTTGATGTATGGCATTTTCCCCTTTAAAAATGCAACCTCAGGCCCGACCAACCTCCGCAGCTTGAAAAATCCAGATTTATAGCAACAGCCCGTGTCAGCAGCTCTCTATGAATAGCACCGTTGGAGCAGCTGCTAAGAAAGGGGAGTTCGTCCAAGCCAGGAGCTGCTAAAATCTGGTTTCTCCTTTTCCGAGCTGCACAGGTGCCCGAATAATGGTTTACTGGCGTAAAGGTTTCAAATAATCCACTCTGATCTTCCTCTTTAGCTGAGCCGAAATGAATTGCCTTATCTGCAGACATCTGGGGTTTTTTTGGGAACCAGGGCTGTGAAAACGTTACACGGTGCATTTCAATTTATTCCATTTGCCCTATTTTTAACCTTCAGGGGAAGGGCGACAGAGTTGAGACTCCCTTCACAGACAGTTCTCGACTGGCGATTGTTCAAAGTTATGACGGCACTGGAAAAAAAGGAACTTATCGCTGTTTTTCGCGCTTACAGCCCGTGCAGCATTCCCATGCTCAGGTGCTTGGCCACTGGTTCATACTTATGACCGCTGCTGCGTCCTGGGGTCATGTGATTCCAGGTGTGACCTTCTTGAATTTCTCTCCTCCGAGGTCATCCATTGGTGACTAGGTGCCAAACACCCAGGCAGGTTCAGTAACCAATTTCAGCAAAGTATGCCTGGATCTGTTTAACCCATTCTTGGTGTACTTTGCAGCTGATTAACGGTAGCTACAAAACTCACGTGTGTAGTAACGTATGGCCATAAATGACAATTAATTTACATTTATATTACCCAGAGGGATAGCATCATCTATCTAACTACTCTGAATGGCTCTATTTGAAGTATTGATCTCATAAGGAAGAGCCTATATGATCAATATCTCCTTTTATTATTATTATAGCTAGGGTAGCACCCGGAGCTCTGAGACTGTCAATAGTAAAGGAGGGGAAGAGTTGTGTGAAAAAAAGCTCTCAAGTGCCATTGTAACTTTGAACGGTCACTAACTGAACTGTTGTAAGCCAGGGACTACCTGCACGTTGTTTAACTTAACAAGCTCCCTGCAAAAGAAATAACACTGTTGTCGTACGGAGCTTTCCTATATTCTGGTTCTAAACACAGTTAAACAACTCTCCTCAATTCCACTGGAATTTTCCAACGAGTAGATTTTTGTCGATTTAAAGCCAGTTTTAACTCACAGCAGTCCCGACTCTATCTGAGAAAAACTTAAGCGAAATCCCTTGGTGATTTCCAAGTCAATGAACTCAGCTGCAAGGGAGCTTATCTCAAATTTCAGCCTTACGGATATTTGCTTACCAATGACAGATTTCACAGTTCTAGGATCTATTGTATTTTAGGTGCTCCTTTACACAAGATAACATTGGCCCGTTGCAAAATTTATCGTGTTAAAACATGTTGTTTTATTTGCCAGCTCTGCAGACCGTGAACCTCCACAGATAGTACTCATATTTCACAATATAGAATATTTGCAACATGGAGCCATCTCTATATAATTAGCTTTTCATGTGCTCAGTTCTTCAGAACCAAATACAAAGCGTATAATAGCAGAATCACTCTGTAATATGAGTGATGTCAAACCAAGTAGCTTATCTTCAAATGGCAGGCAATTTATTTTACAAACCACAGTGTATCAGTATTAAATTTACAGCTCTAATTCCTCTAGTTAGCATACTCTATATTCAAAGAAAGATAATCTTGACATTATTCCACTGCCTCACAACAGGAAGAGTAAACACAACAAAGTTCAGGCAAAAATCTACAATGTTTAGCTTCCCCATCTTGTTTTAGCATCCTTGAATTCACAACTATTAATTCATAATGATATTGATATTCATAAAATGTCCCCATTTATAAAAAAGGTGCCTTGTCAACAAACATCAACCATTCTTTCACATATCAAAGCCTACTAGTATATGTATATTTTCTTCCTCCCTCTTCTTCTCACTGCCTTCCTTCCTTCCTTCCTTCCTTCCTTCCTTCCTTCCTTCCTTCCTTCCTTCCTTCCTTCCTTCCTTTCTTTTCTCCCTCCCTGGATATTTTCTATTTTCCTTCCTTCCTTTTCTCCCTCCCTCCTTCCCTTCTTCCCTCCCTGGATATTTTCTATTTTCCATCCTCCCTCCCTCACTCCCACATCAGGAGACCACATAAACCTTCAATACATTCATGCATACACACATTTCAAAATGCTGGTTGCGATTATTTGAACCTCTGCAGTGTAACTCCTACTGATGCTATTTCAGGCATCACGAATAATACACACACATCCTACTAAATGCAGAGACCCTCCACTGCAAACTGCTAAGCATTCAGCTTAAAAACACGCAATTGACAAAACCCTAAATTAAAGGCTCCCTTCCAAACTATACTTAGGCAGTCTTTCTTGTAAACAAGCACTGGAACTAAATGTGTTATCACACCCTGCCTCCCATTGCTTTTTTATTTATTTTTTTATTTGAAATATAAAATGATTGTCCTGAACTGATTCCAAGAAGCTTTGCAATAATAAGGTAAGAGAGATATTTGGATGAGTTCAATTCAAGATGTTCCAAATTCAACTTCTAGCATGCTGGAAAGTGCACCTTCCATTACAAATTCATCCAACTGGGTCTCTTAAGAATAAGCATAATTAAAGCTCTGGTGGCAAGTCGTTCCATTGATTAATTGTTCTCTAGACTGGCCATTCCCACATTCTGCAACTGTTCTTCATATGTTTTAATCTCCAGGCCTTTAATCATCTTAGCTGCTCTTCTCTGCACTTTTTCCAAAATCTCAACATCTGTTTTGTAATGTGGTGTCCAAAACTGGATGCAGGATTCCAGGTGGGGGTCTTACTAAGGCTTTATAAAGCGGTACTAATACTTTACGGGACTTTGATTCTATGCCCCTGTTACGTATATGCCGCTGATCAGCATATACATTTTTCACTCTTGAAAGGGGAATAAAAATATAAGGACAACAGCAGAGAGCTCATGTGCTCTAAGCAAAGAATTCAAGCTGACATTTTAAGAGGTTGTCGGTCCTCCTAACAAATATCTTGTGTTTTTGTTTCCTATGTTTGTCTCTAGATTGCTCCCAAACCTCTTGAAAACAATAGCTGAAACATAGTATTGCTATTACTCACGGGAATGATACAAAGTTAAGGTATCAGGCAAGATGACTGACTGGCAAACATTTTGCAGAAATAACAATCCTGCCTTGTGCAGAGACTCATGTCAGAAACCAAATAAGAAAATGCAAATCCATGCATCTGGTGAATAAAATGAGATGAAAACTGACTTGGTGGCTCTTTCTGTAGCCATGAAAATATAAAAAGATACAAATAATGGGGGTTTTTTTTTCCACCGAGATGGAGATAAAGGACACCTAAGGAAGTGTATAATAAGCAATTTAGCTATAAAGTTCACAGGAGACAAATGGGCTCATTGGGATGGACAGATAATGAGGTGTGGCCTACTCACTTTTAATGTATTATGATCTAATCTGTTTATCTGTAACATACCTACTTGTATTCCGCCTTTATTATTTTTACAAATAACTCAAGGCAGGGAACATATCCAATGCGCCTTCCTCTTCCTGTTTTCTTCACAACCACCCTGTGAGGTGGGCCGGGCTGAGACAGAGGGACTGGCCAAAAGTCATCCAGCTGGCTTTCATACTTAAGGTGGGACTAGAACTCACAATCTCTGGGTGATTGGTCCAAAGTCACCCAGTCAGCTGTCATGTCTAAGGCAGGACTAGAACTGGTGACCGTCTGACAAGTAAAATCAATGGGGGAAAACAATTAACAACCGTGTTACTAATGTAAGAGTCATGGTTCTAACAGATGAAACTCTTCAAAGAACTTCGAGGCATTGTTTACCTTAAAGAATCTTTATTGGAGAAGCATAGCGTGGGCACTAACACAGTCGAAGCCAAAATCTGAATTCCCCTCCCCTGAGCACATAGTATCAAGGCACAATTCCCTCCTCCAATTAACCATCATAAAACACATTCTCCAATTAGTCTGAAATACAGGCTTTCCCTCCAGTTCTCCAGCTGCCAATTCTTATCACCTCTTATTTCAATAACCTTGGTTCTCACACTAGCTACAGTATTGTTATGTCTAGCTAAACTCTGCTCCACTGTGGTCGGTAAGCTGAGGATTTCCTGCGTAGCTCAACACACTGACAAGTCGGAAGCACTAATTGGAAACATTTGAAGCACGTGCCACAAACCTTGCTTGTATGTATAATAGTACTACATGCACATAAAAGAGAAAGGCAAACAATTTACCACACAAGCCTATAAATGTCTGCACCATATTACACAGACATAATACTGCCTATAAAAGCAGTGCCTCGTATTGACAAACCAGAAATGCTAATTAGAAAAAAGATGTGTGCTGTAAACCTTTTCTGTATATATTACAGAGTTCTATATATAGATGAGACGCACACAATACAGAAAGGCAGAAAAACATCTGTAAAGCGTGTGTTATAAACATGGCATCCACACAGGAATATATCATAGCAGATGTAAAGGCCACATTTGGTGTTGAGAAGCCAGAAACTCTTATGGGAGATATAGACTACAGAACAATATAAAATATCTCTATTTTATAGAGATATAATAATATTGGGGAAACTGTGCTGCAATGCTTGCTTATATGTATTATATTGTTCTGTGCACACAAGTCTATAATCCTTGTGAGGCAGCCATAGTTGCTTGTGTGAAATGGGCAGCTGTGTAAATCACTAAAATAAATAAATAAAACAGGGCAGGCAAAAGCCACATGCGATAATAACAATCTAGAAAGGCTTGTTATTAATAAAGGAAATGGGGGCTACATTTCTTGCTGGTCTATTTTATACTGGTGTTTGCAAAGATGCCACACAGATATATCCACAGGCCCCGGCCACACAAACTTTAAACAGAACCCTAGAAAGTGTGCCTGGCAAATA